CTTCGTGGGCTTGAGCCCTCCTGAGGTGTGTGGAGAAAGTGCTGACCTCTCATAGGCTAGATGAATAGTTCCCCAGAATGAGGACCCCATCTTAAAGTGTAAACACTCCAAGACATTCTCTATAATACTCGTAATATCTATTAATGAGAAAATACATGAAAAGGAAAAGCTACTCTTAATGAAATGTAATGTCTTTAATTGGATTTGCATTTTATTAACTAGGACAGTATCTACATGCATTAAAATATCATGAAAATAATAGCAACTACTATTTATTGTGGACACATTATATGCCAAGTATTTTGCTAAGGGGTCTACACACATTATCTATGATTTGCCCCACAACCCTACAGGGTACAAACCTTTATTATCCCCATTGTATAGATGAGGAAACTGAGGCTCCAAGAGGTTAAGTGACTTGCCCAAGCTCACACAGGTGGGAAGCGATGGCCTGAGAATTTAAAGTCTGACAGTCGTGAAAGATTTAATGCTACTTGATCCTGCCTCTCTTATTTACGTATTCTGTGGACAATATTTGGCATGCCTGTGAATTCTCCAGTCCCTAGCTTAAACTCAGGGCCTCCTAGGAATCTGAGACCACCAGGAGGGAGTCACAGGCTCTTTGGGGAACGAGCATAGGTGCTAACAGTCTAGAGATGAGCTTCAACGTGATCACCAGCACGGGACCCTCCTGTATCCAGCCTCATTCTTGTAGCATCTCTCAGCCCCCTGAGCTCCTGGTGCTTCAGTTTGCCTCTGTCTTGTCTGGCTTGTTCACACGTTCCCAGAGGCTGGAAGGGTTAACAGTTGAGAACCTGTTTGCAGACCATTAGAAACAATAATCACCTTGCCCAGCAACCTGATCTACCTCAAAAGAAGGGTCTTGATTTTAGCAAACAGTTTAAGTGGCCTCTGTGTAAAGTGGAGGGGTGGAGCAGGCCTGATTGCATTTCTCCCAGGCAGTTGGAATTTGTGTGGTAATCAAGCCAGGCCCAAGGGCCAATTCCTGGGCCTAGGGGTGCTGAGCTCACACCCGTCTGGCTGTTTCTTTCCCTGGAATCCTGAAACCAGCTTCCTCTGTAGGCAGAGATCTGATACATCCCCTACGTCTCTGCTGTCCCTTCTCAACCAAGGGGTGCTAGTAAAAATATTATGAAATGCTTGCTGTCCACTTCACCAAGTACATTCACCGAACCTTTACCATGTGCTCCAGTGCACAGTCTTCCTTCATCCTCAACACTCAGCATTATTGCTATTATGCCTCCCACTTCACAGGTGAGAAAGTTGAGACTCAGAGACCGCTGTGTGCAGAGGCCAGTGCCGATTGTAAAACTTCCAGGAATTTGGCAAGCTAGTGGTCGAACACGACCATTATTAAAACTTAAATTACATAAACTTATAATTAAACTATATTAAAAACAAAGGTACTAGATACTCAAAAGCCGTCACTTCCTAATGATTTAACGACTGTTCACTGGTGTCTGTGCTTCAGAGGTTATTTATGTCGGTCGTATCTGTGGGGTGAAAATGCTGTTTCATCCAGGTGCTACCGCACTTGTCTTCCCAGCTCTGCATTGTGTGGCATTATGTCGGCAGTCAGTCTGAAATCTGCTGTGGTGGGAGTATCTACACCACAGAAATTGACAAATGTGCAAATCAGGGGTTGTGTCCCCCCCTCCCCTCCGCAAAGAGCTGGCTGTTAAACATTTGCCAGCACCCCTGTGCTGAGGAAGGTTAACTCACCTGACAAGGTCACAAGCCTGCAGCTGGGCTCTAGAGAGCTTGTCACTATGCTCTTCTACCTTTCAAAATAATAAAGATTCATGAACAAGTTAATTGCAAGGAAATAAGAGAGTCGAAAGAGAGTTAAAGATTAAAAGAGACTTGAAGACATATTATACAATCACAAAATATACACCTTATTTGGAATTTGTTTAAAATAAACAAACTAAAAAAATTACGACATTTATGAGACATTTGGACATTTAAGCACTTACTAGATATTTGATGATATTAATGAACCATCATTTTTTAGGCATGATAATAGTAGTATCTTTTAGATCACTATTTCAGATGAGAAGATATGATGACTGAGATTGGCTTTAATAACAATACCCGAAAGAAAACAAGTGGATATAGGGATCAGTGGCTCTCAGAGTGTGGTTGCCTGACCAGCAGCACCAGCATCACCTGGGAACTTGAAAGTACAAATTCTCATGTCCCAACTCAGACCTAAGGAATCAGAAGTTCTGAGGGAAGGACTCATCAATCTGTTTTAACAAGCCTTCCAGGTGAATCTCATATACACTCAAGTTTGAGAAACTGGAGGTTTAGGTGAAACAAGATTCACCATGCATCCATTGTTGAGGCTGAGTAACAAGTGCCTGGGTGTGGGGCTTCATAGGTATGTTTGAAATTCCCTATAACAAACAGTTAAAAAAAATAATTATGCCCACTGGAAGAAAGGAGTATAGGTGTGGTGGGGAGGGGTCATAGCTGGACAGCCTCTGGATCTAAAGCGAAATAAATGGGTTTTTGAATGTCATTCACGAGTCTGGTATTGGTGCATGTGTCTTTATTGTTTCTTGAGTGAAAAATCCAGGCTAATGGCTGCATTAGCAAAACTTTAACTGGCAGCTCTTCCCCCTCCCCGCCAACTCCAACTCCTCAGGTTTCTCTGATTAACTTTATTCCTTCATTCGAGGCCCTAGTTTTAATAAGATTTGATCCTGGAACCTCAAATCTCTGGGAGAAGCAACTATTTTAATTTTCAACTTCTAGTGAGACTTTAAAATAACCACCCACTAGACCTGCTTTATCAGCTTCAGACGTGACACAATTAATTAACTTTACGAAGCCTCTTGCCACACAAGCTGCTTAACTTCTAGCCCATTGTAGTTCTGGTTTACTTAGCAGATATGGCCTAAGAGCCTGTAACTGTTTACCTCCCTCTGGAGGGGCCGTCCTGGGCAGACGAATTCATTAGTTGGTGTTTGTAGAGCGGCAGGAAACCAAAAAAAAAAAAAAAAAACCCATTAGGTAAGTTTTTATTTTTATTTATTTATTTTTTGTTTAAAAGGCACTGAAAAAGGGACCCTTTGTCTTGGCCTGAACTCATATCCAAGTTTTGTTCTGTCCTGCGGTTGTCAGTTTGCTTCCCTCTACGTGCCCCAGCCTCTTTTCTCTTGCCCATTTTTTCTCTCTCATTTCTGCTGTTCCTCCCAACTGGAAAACTCTTTGGATTTTGGCCTGGAGGATGGAAAAGGTCTGTCTGCCCGTGAGATGGGATATTTAAGGATTTTTAGTCTTTTTAGTTTAAATGCCAAACTCTTTGAAGACCTCTGCTTTCCTAGTGTTCTCTCACCCTCTTCAAGAGGCTGTCTTTCCTTTTTTCCTTTCTTCCTCAATTACCTCCCCTCTCTTCTCTCTTAAAAACAGTCCTGTTGAGACCTTGTCAAGAAATGGCAAGGACATTTTTTCTAGAAACTGTACTTTCCAAAACTCTGGAGAAGGGAGAAGAAAAGTTGTCATTCTCTTGTAGAGAAAGAAGGGAAAGCAGAGTAGGGAAGGGGCATTTTGTGGGTTTTGGGGCAGAGGACATTTGAACTGTCTCATCTTTTTCAAGCAGTACTCCTAGAACAGGATTTCTTAAGTGCCCTGTGGCCTGCAGATTTGGGGGCCACACTCCAACCCAAATGGATCCAATTTCTGGGGATTGGACTACTAGGATTCTGTGTTTTTAACACGCTCCGCAGATCATTTGGATGCCCACTGAGGTTTGAGAACCATGGGTCCAGTGGGTAAGGCCCCAGGGTCCTATTTACCAAATGCCTCCCACACGCCAGGTACTGCGCAAGGAGGAGAAATAGCTTTGACTTTGGTTTTTGAAAGGCCTAACTTCCAGGTATCCTTTTAAGGAAATAAGACTTTATTACTTTATATTAATGGTATTTATTGGGTGTTTAGTGTATACCAGATGTTTTAGAACCCTTACCCTGCCCCTCCCTCACCTAAATCTATATTCTTGTTATACCGTGTTGCAGATGAGGAAACTGAAGCTTGGAAAGGTTAAACAGTTTGCCTACATCACAACAGTAAAACGTGGTGTCATGGTACTTAGACTTCTATACTTTTGGCTCGAGGCTGAGCTGTTGCCTCCCGGCTTCTCACAGTCGGGCTGTGGTGGTCATGTTTTCCACACCGAAACCTGAAACTCATGATCTTACAGGTATGCTTTTATTTTGACAGACAGAGATTCACAGTATTTGCAATCTGATTGGTTTCTTTATTCCCTGGGCCTGTATTAGCCTGTTTTTCACTTTAGGATGTTTTCAAAGTCAGATACGGCAGCCTTGGGCCTAGTTTGCCCGCCCCACTGGACAGGAGACCCCAGGCTTCCTCCTGGTTTTTTATGGATCTATTTTTAAATTATTCAACAATAAAGGTAAATCAGAAGTATTAATTTACCCCTCATTCTCCTCCTCAGAAGTGGCTTTTGTGACCAGTTTGGGTGTTTTCTTGGAGACATTTCTTTACGCTTTTACATATACAATTTTTTTTCTTAACATAAACAAAAAATTATTTCATAAATCAACCTTTTTCACATAATGATATATCTTAGAGCTCTTTCTGTGTCTACCTTGGCTTTTTTCCCTTGCATTTTTAAGAGTAAAGGCTTACTGAAGACGTTCATTGATGAAAGGGGAAAGAAGAAGAATATTTCTTAAGCATAACTAAACATAAAAGAAGAATGATAGTTTGATAGTTATTTTGGAGTCCAAGTTTGGAAATACTTTTTTTTTTTATTGTGGTAACATAACATAAAATTAAGCATTTTAACTATTGTTAAGTATATAGTTCAGTGAGATTAAGTACATTATTATGCAACCATCGCCACCATTCATTTCCAGAACTTTTTCATTTTCATTTTCCCCAACTGAACTCTGCACCCATTAAATACCAACTCCCCATTCCTTCCTCCCCCAGCCCCTGGCAACCACTATTCTACTTTCTGTCTCTATGAATGTCACTCCTCTAGCTATTTCATATACATGGAATCATATAGTATTTGTCCTCTTCTGTCTGGCTTATTTCAGTTAGCATAATGTCTTCAGAGTTCATTCACATCGTACCATGTATCAGAATTTCTTTCTTTTTAAAGGATGAATAATAGTTTATTGTATGTATATGTCACATTCTGTTTATCCATTCATCTGTTGATAGATACTCGAGTTGTTTCCACCTTTTGACTTTTGTGAATAATGCTGCTATGAACATGGGTGTCCACATCTGAGTCCTGCTTTCAGTTCTCTTGATATATACTCAGGAGTGGAATTGCTGGATCGTATGGTAATTCTATGTTAACGTGTTCTTTTTAACTACATAATATTCCATTGTACCTTTCATGCGTTTATTGGCAATTTAAGTTCTTTTTTCTGTGAATTGCTCATTGTCAGGTATGATTTTTAATGGGATCTGAGACAGTCTTTATATAGTCTAGACAGTCTTCCTTTTATGTACAGGGCCAATTATACACATTTAAAGTAAGTCTCTACATCATTTCAGATCCTAGTGCCCGTCGTGATCTTTTTGATTATTTAAAGACTATTTATTGATGAGAATTTTTATTATAAAAATAGAGCACACACCCGAGTAGCCACCCGTGTGCAGCACAGTGCCTGCCTCATGGTGCTTCATAAACGTTTGCTGACTAACTTTTGGACAGCATGTGGTTCCATCGGTGTTTCCTTTCTAGGACTTGCTGGGATGGGTTGAATCCAGAAACTAATTAAATTCTTCATGATACTTCATAGCACAATTTTCCCTAAGTTTAACCTGTTCTACCAGTCTCAGAAAAAAAAAAAAAATTACGCCAAATTGCTATGAAAATAATAGATAATTTAAGTTTCTGCTATTTGAAAAGCACTCTAGTGAAACTGTACTGCAACGGGCTTCGTCAAAATGAAAATAGTTAGTAATTAAATAACCTGTAGATTAGAAAAGAAAAGAGTGTAAAAGAAACTGATTCTTAACTCAGTCTTTCTACTTCCTACTTCATCTCCAGGAAAGAAAACATCAATGCTAAGCCTACCACTTATTGGCTTAATATGTACCAAATAATTTGCTGAATGTTGTACATCTGTTCTTTAATCTTATTTAATCTTCATAATTATCCTGCAAGGCAACCGTTCTCATCCCCATTTCACAGATGTAGAGGGCCTAGGAAGGCTGAATCACTTGCTGAAGGTCACACAGCTCATGGTAAATAGTAGAGTTGTCCCTTTGGCGGCAGGCGCTGAAATCTTGACGATTATCGTATTCTTTATCTGCGGCATCAGGGTTACTTGGTGACTAACAGAAACCAAAGCGCAGGTGACTCTGCCTGTGTACCTAGTGGGAGAGAAACAGGAAGGAGGTCGTGTGATTTTGCTCTGTGCCCTATGTTTGGGTGTGGGGACACAGGTTGTAGTGACTGTGTGTCCTTGAACCTTAGAGTTCCATGGCTTCGCTGGCCAAGTCCCTCCTCCTCCCAGGATTGCTTCTCTGAGGTGCTGCCCGTTCCTAAGTCCGGAGGAGCGATGGCTCCAGTTTGTCCTCCTTGGGATATGGCTCTGCTCATCTCAGTGACGCTGCCTCCTGACTGTAGCCCACAGGGATCTGTGGGAGTTTGTAACTCACGGCTGAATATCGACTTCTGTTAGTTCTTGGATTGCTCTTTAAACTTTGTTCCTTGTGTCACCAGACAAATAGTGACGCCTCTGGGGCCAAAGGTCTGGGTTACGTTTTTTGTATACAACTCTTAAATACAAGCTCTAGACCCAAATACTGACTGATAAAGTATATTTATAGCACACAACCATTTCAGAGTGTCTGTAACCTTAGAGTTGGCTGAGAATAATTAGTGTGAACAACTGCTCTTACAGAGGAGAAGAAGAGTTAAGAGGGACCCTTCAAAGTGAATTTTATGATTCTGGGAAGGATGCTGCGTACATGTTTTTAAACGTAATCAGCAGAACCTGAAGAAAAAACACCCCAGTTTCAGCTATCATTTCCCTTGTTGACTCATCCTAACTTCTCAGTCTTAGATGTAGCTGATTTTCTAGAATTTCCTGCTATCGGGGCCTGTGAAATCAAGGAGTGCCCCTAGGGAACCCGGAGGCGGTGACAGGGTGGTGGCCGTGGGGGCGGCGAAGGTGAGGAAGACACCCACATTTTACTTGAGGGCCTGAAAATTAATTTGTCCTTTTGATGATAATTTAAAATAGCATTTGGAATTATAATTTAAATCCTAAAGGGTTTTTTTTTTCCTCCTTTCTGCAAGTTTGTGAATCATTTTAAGTACAAAGGGGCCGAGGGGCTCCCACTTCTATGATTTGCATGCGGTGTCCTGATTCTCGGCGTCTAGATTTGTTGCGATTTCTACTCACCTAGCTGCTCTCATCTTTGAAATCGTCCCCAGATGATCCATTGTCACCTGTATCAGTTACAGAAGTCCTCACTGAAAGAAACAATGCGCCTTGAAAACAGGATCCTCTGCCTCTCTCTCTGCTTTCCTCGGTGTCTTTAACAACCCAGTGTCTGGGTGACCCTCCACTGGTGTCCTGTCCAAATGGTCCTGGCCTCGAAGGCCCTGTGGAGAGCTGTAAGTAACATTGAGAGGAGTCCTTCATCAACGCGGAGGAAAGGAATGTAGGCCGTTCTTATCGCCCTTGTCACCATAATAGAAACACTTGACTCCAACAGGTATTTCCCTCCCAGGTGTGGAAGACTTTCTTTCTTTTTTTTTTTTTTCTCATTTCACAGGTAAGACCAAGTATGTCTATACCAGGGAGCCCCAAACTGTGGTTGTTAGCAGAATGTGTAGAGAGAGATTGTTGGTTTCAATCAAGGAAGACAGAAAAGACTGTTTTCTTCTTCACTGAAAATCTTTCTCCTCAGGAGGTGCTCAAAGGCTTGTGATTTGCACAGAAGTCTTTCTGAAGCAGCAAAAGGCTTGTGAGCAGACTTGCTCCCTGGCCCATGGCAGGGATCGGTAATCATGGAAGGCTGAGCTGTCCCTTTGGGAGCTTCTGGCCACATGGGGCTATGTAAATTTACATTAATTAAAATTAAATTAAATTAAATATTCAGTTACTCAGTTGCATTAGCTACGTTTCTAGTGCTCATTAGCACATGTGGCCAGCAGCTTCTTCTGTACAGGATACTTCTTTCACTGCAGGAAATTCTATTGAACAGTGTTACTTTAAGGCTCACCAGTTAACAGAGACCATTTTACTGGTTCTAGATAGCAGTGACCTGCACCATGGCCCTAAGGGACCGAGTTGAGGCTAGAGTGAGGATATAGAGTTACAATAAATCTGCACACATAGCATGGGTATGGTCATTAGAGCGAAAATGTAATGAGACTTTCAATAAACATTTATTTCTTAAATATAGCACTTGATTCAATGTTACTCAGACAAGCCTTAGAAATCTGGTACTGTGCAAGACAATTTTTGCTGTGCTGGAGTTTATAACCTATAAGTTGAGGCAGGAAATAAATAATAAGTGGTGATAAGTTGAACATTAGACATTTGCAAGGGAGCGATACATTATTTGGACAGGAAAGATTCTCAGAGAAGGGGATGTGTAAGCAAAGTTTTGATGGATGATGAGAATCTTAGCAAATAGACAAGTATAACGCTCAAAAATAGAAGGAATTACGAAACGCTTTGGAAAACTGAGAAGTTTGGAGTTAGAGGAATGTGAAATGGCAGGAGGGAGAAAGGCAGGACCGGCCACCACATTTTGGGGTCCCATGACATCAAGCATGGGGCCCTGTGCAAACGCACAGCTCGCATGCCCACAAGGCCATCCTGGCGAGGAAGTTGAGAGAAAGATAGGACCATGTTATCAAGGGCTTTTCGGTCACACTTTGGAGTTTGGACTGTGTCTTGAAGGAGACTGAGAGACATGAGAGATTTTTAAGCTGGGGTGAGGCAAGATCAGGCTTTCATTTGGCAAAGACCATGTTACCAGCAGCACTGAAGGGCTTGGCAGGAAGGCTGGGTACGAAGCGACTGAAATGGCTTGGTGAGAGAGGACCAATGAGGACAGGTGACAGTGGGACAGAGAGGACAGAGGACAGGAGAGTAGGTGGTGAACAGGACACCGATTGGACAGTGCACGTGGGGTGAGGGCTGGATGTGAACTCTGGGACTCACAGTCTTCAGGCTCAAAGTCTCACTTGCTACGCCGGCCGGGCTGTCCCCCACTGAGATCTCTGCTGCCTCCTTCTTTGCAGGTTGTGGAGTCTTTGGGTTCCCATCACCCCTCCTCGAGCAAAAGGCTGAGGGTGGAGGGAAGGAGGCAGGTGCTGACCCCTTGCCAAGAACCTTCCAGGACCTACCTTACTGTGTTCCCTGCGCGGGGCCGTTTTCCTGACCCGACTCTGGAATCAAGTCAGTCCCCTCCTCTCCTCGGGGCTTAGGAACATGGCCCCAGAGGAAGTCAGTCATCATAGTTTCAATATGCCGCCCTCGATCTGCATTTCCTGACTTGGGTATTTGTGACATTCCATAGGCCATTTTCAGAGGGTTTCATTTTTCATTTCCTGACTGAATCAGGACGTGCCCTTCTTTTGGGGGGTGGTGTTGGGGTATGGGAGCCAGTGTGTGACGAGGCATTCACCAAGAGCACGGAGCAATCCCACAGCGCAGCTGGGAGGGAGAAAATAAAAAAGAACCACCACGAGGGCACCTCCTGTGGCCCTCCTGAAGCAGACAGCAGGGAAGGACGCCAGTGTGTGTTCGGTGCCAGCACTGGGGGTGCCCGGAGTACCTCCTCTTCATAGGATGTCTCTTCCAAGGACATCTCCTTATGAAGGGGAGCACAGTGACACCCCCCTCCCCTTTACACACCAACACAGGAACGCTGTGTGCCTCACCCAAGTCTAGAGACTTGCCCATTGTCACTGGCTGATGGGATGTGGATTAGAACTCCAGTCTTCACATTCCTGGACCCCGCCCCACCCCCATTCCCAGATTCCTTTGCTTATACTTCACAGTGAGACAGTCCTGAGTGAATTCTGACTCTTGTTTCTGAAATGGGGCAATTTTATTTAAACATTGCATGAAATTATGTCTCCATTAACTTATTTCTAAAAAAAAAAGGAGTCTCATCTGAGCCAGAGAGGGAGGGAAAGGAGAGGCATGTTTAATGTATTTGAAGGGAAATAAAAAACACAAGTAACAGAGTGAAGTAGGTACAAGCTATGAACTGGCTGTACCTGGCTACGTTGTTACGAGAAAAATTTTAAAGGCAGCAGCACATGAATACCCTTGTTTGGTGGCAAGCCTGACTTGGGGAGCCTTTGCACTTTCTTGAAACTGGAGAGAGTGGTGGGGGCCAGGCGGGAGGGGAAAGAGAATGAACTTGGACATCCAGGAGACCAGCCTAACTTCAGGGTGGCTTCTTTGCCCAGAGCACTTTCCTATGCTGAGAGCTCGAACAAGCAGGGAACTTATCCGGTCGTATTAGGGGTCAGTGAGGAGGAAGAGGGAGGAAAAACACCAGCCCAAGAGCTAGCTGACAGATGCTCTGAATGAATACCAGTTCAGAAGCCAAGGCTTTTTCAGGTCTGTCTCATGTTTAAACTGGAATATTAATTTTACAAGCAGAAAAAGTTCTCCTGGACATAAAAGTTTTGCTGACAGAAAAAATCCACAACCCGTGGGCTCTGGATGAAAGGGCTGGGCCTCTAGGGGCATCTTCCGGGCTGCAAAAAGGGCTAGGCTGCTCGAAAGGTACTTGAAACAAACAAAACAGTGACTCTAAAACGCACCCATATGTCACGTTCTTACAGAAAAATACCCTCTGTAATTAGTTACAAGCTTTAGAGAATAAAATCCAATTTACCTGTCAAAGAAAAAGGCTGAACGCCCCCCATCCCAGACTGTTGGGGGGTGGGGGATGTGGCTGGCAGGCTCCTTCCCTCCCCACACCCCAACCTTTCTCCTCCCATCTCCTTTATTTGTGAAGACTGGAAAAAAAAATAGAGAAGTTGGAAAAATCCTCTAAAGACACACAGTGTTCCAAGCACAATCAGACCACTAATTACTGTTAAGCTCGAGCCCCTTTTTGTGTTCTGAGGGGGGCGTCAGTATGTAGCAACCACTTGGGCCTTTTCATGAATTCGGGCTAACTCCTGAATAGCAGATTTTTTTTTTTTCTCTTCTTTTCAACATTTGCCGCCTGCCTTTCTTTTCCTTCATCTTTATCTTCACCTTCTCCTTTTTTTTTTCTTTCTTTCTTTTTTTTTTTTTTTTGCATGTGCTTTTTTTCTTTCTCTCTCCTTTTATTTCCCCCCTTTTTTCTTCTCTGATAGCATTTTTCTTCTGGTGTAGTGTTTTAAGTCTCTAAATGAAACTTGACTGCCCCCACGGCCGGCTGGAGAAGCACAAAGGCCTCCCATTCCACTGGCTACAGTAACGCCATTGTGTGTCCTAACAATGCACTAATTGGTGGTGACAATTGTGGAGTTGGGAGGAAGAGGGAGGCCTGCTCTTTTCCAATCAACGGGCCACGGAAATAAAAGGAGAGGAGGAGGAGGAGGATGGGAGGCCCAGGTTCCTGATGGAGAGAGGGGGATAGATCCACAGAGGGGGCGCAGTAGTGGGGTGTGTGCTGGGCTTTCTAAATTAATAAAAACAAAGGAAAAATCATTATTTTGGGGAAAAAAATATGAACTCTGCTGCAGAGAACTTCAGGGTCCTGGAGGGGGAGATGGGAGGGAGCTAAGGCGAGGTGTGGGTGAGCGCCCCTCCAGGACCCAACATTCCGTGTTTCTGCAAACGATGGGAAAGTCAGAGAGGCCGGCAGCAGAGGCTCTGAAGGAAACTCCCATCAGGATGGCTGAAAGGCAGGTGCTGAGTTGGTCCATGATGAATCCCCGTTTCAACCACATTTCTCTATGAGGAGGGAGGAAGCCAGAAAGAGAGGCTTAGCCACTTGTGTGGTGTATTGGCCCTTCAGAAGGTCCAGGAGCCACAGAAGGTGATTCTGACCTTTACAATGGTCTTAAAGCGAACCTGGGCAGGATGGTGAACATGAACAACATGGTAGCCAGATAATGCTGCCAGGGCTTTTAGGGCCACTGGGGAATCCCCAAGACCCTCCAGAATGTCACCTGGAAATGCAGGGACCTCAGAGCCACCTGGATCCAGCCTATACCCCTCTTTACAGGGAATGACCCACCTTCCCAGATCAATTTCAAATATGCCTGCTCCCCAGAAGCTTTTCCTGGCCAGGTGGGAGTGACCCACACCCTCCTCAGGCTCTCCCTCTGCGCCCTGAAAATAACAAGACCTGATGGCTACTCCTTTCCTTCTGCGGGCCAGGCCTGGTACTAAGGGCCTTGTACACATTATTTCACTGAAACCTCACAACAGCCCCATAACCTGATCAGTATTATTATCTCCACAGAGAGGGCGAATGGGGAAATTGAGGTCTCTTAACTTCTCTAAAAGATTAGCTTGCCTGAGATCACCCAGCATAAGGGTGGGGGTGGGGTAGGGGTATAGGGTGGGGAGCCAGGAATCTAACAGGGCTGGTTAACGTGGCCCTATTTGCTTCCCCGCTCTCTTCTGCCTGTTCTTTCTGCATTCCTGGGGGGGGCGGGAGCTGTGCTTTGGTCATCTTTGCATCTCTAGCAGCTTACAGAGTGTTTAGTATACCGGAGGCCTCCAAAACCCGTGTGCAGACTGAAGGGGGAGGCAGGGAGGGCTGCATTATTGGCAGTCGTCTTCTAGGTCCTTGTGGGCCCCAGACTGCAGCCAGCATCCGAATCTCCTGGGGTGGGGAGGGAGGAGGAGTTTTTAAAACAGATCCCTGGTCCGTCCCCACCAGGTTCAGGTGGTACCCGAGAATGTGCCTTTCTAACACATGACCAGCTGATGCTGCTGGTCCAGGGACCACAGCTGAGAAGGGCTGCACTAGCATAACGTTCACATGGCAGCAGGGAGCGCCACCCCTTCCATTGTCTCTGTCTTTTTGTGGCCTGAGATCAGAAGTTTTATTTGGGAGAAATTAAAGTTGAAAAGTTCTGACCATAATGATAGATCATTGTTAGGCTCCCGGCTGCATTAAATAACAATCTTAGTCAAACGGTCATCTGATTTAAAAAAACCCAAAATACACAGATGATCAGCAGTATGCCCAACTAACCACACTGCAAACAATGACATTTTCTAGATAACACCTGGTCAGTCTTTTATTTGGGAGAGCTCACGGAGAGCTCTTCTCTCTCGCAGATTTTTGCGCCTTTTAATTTTAATTCATGACTATCTTAGAGTTTAAGGTGAAATAACCCAAAGAAAGAACTGAATGAAGAGCACTTGAATTCTAAAGTCTTTTTGGTGAGGGCATCTCGAGGGCATAGGTGAGGAACATCTCAGGGTGTAGGCTCAGGAACCTGGTGCCAGGGAACTGACTTTGCACCCTGAGGGCAACTGCTGTCTCTGAAAATAAAGGCTTCTCTCTACTCAGGTCTCTAAGAACTGAATGTGTTTCTCTGAGGAAGTCATTTTAGTCAGGCAGGTGTTCACCCTTGGATAGGTCACTATTATCAGGCTAGGGATGCAGCCGGCTCCTGAAGAAGAAAGTACCTCTTCACAGTTAAACTTTCCTCTTAGCCTTGGTACAGCTTTCTGAATACGGAGGCCAGAAACGTGCACCCCGGCGGGGCTCACACTTGGATGTTCACACTGCAGTGTCTGTTGGGCGCATAGGTCGGGATGAGATTGCAAATGTATAGCAACGGGGGAGAAATTGTCGTGAGAAAGTGCATGGGAAAGTTATCGTGTCAGAAGCCAACTCTCAAAGAGAGAAGCCATTTGTTGCACAGTTGATAGAATTTAAGCAATAAAACCAGGTCTTTGGAGGAACAGAGTTCAGGGTAGTTTTGAGGGAGCAGGAACTAATGGACAATGCTGCCTAGACATTGCACTCCAACGTGTGTGCTCCCCTCAAGATCCAAATTTCTGCTGGCCTAGCTTGGGCTGTGGGTCCCAGGAGGAAGAAGACTTTGATTGACAGCCCCCAGGAATACCTGGAATGAGGGGTACTATCCTCTGAAGGAAAAGGGAGACATCTGTACCGTAAGCGGGGAAGAGAAGCTGGGGAGGCACCATATAGCCCTTTACAATTTACCAAGCCTCATATTCTTATTTTTATTTTACAAAAGCCTCACTATTTGAACAAACAAACAAAAAGGATATTTTTAAGACAATCAGGTAAATGTGATTTGGAACTGAGCATCAGATGATAACAAGGAATTCTTGTTAACTTTGTTAGGTAGGTAATGGCATTATGACTACGTAGAAAAAAATAAGATCTTTTTTAGATGCGTGCTAAAGCATGGGGGCATAAAATGTTATTATGTCTGGGATTTACTTTGTGATTTTTTTTTAAAATTGGAAAAAAAAAAATGAGTAACAAGAGTAGGTGGAACCAACCAGGAAAAAATCTAATAATCCTCATTAGAAACACCCTGTGGTGGGCCATATGAGCTGCCCGGGTGCCGGGGGGACTGGTTCGGAGGCAATCTGGGCAGGGCTGACTCTCCGTCGGACCACATGTTGACACATGTTCACTACAGGCACTGGCACTTGGCAAGGCCTATGAGCCGGTGCCTGCCCTCTGCCTTGCGCCTCTTACCTGGTGTGGAATTGAGTGTGCATGAGTGGGA